TGGAATTGAAATGTGTAGAGAAACGAGGAGAACAGATTTACTGTGAAAATTTTTGTGAAAATTTAATTTTGTAGAGGAGTGGAAAGAACAAAATTTTGTGTTGAAAATGTTTCAAATTTTTATATAAAATTTATGTTTAAAAAATAAAACAATTACATTAAAACCATTAAATTTAATTAAAGGAAATAAATAATTAGATATTACATATTAAGTGGGTCTAGTAAAATTATTATGGTAGTTTAACATTTTTTGGCTCACATTATCATTTTTTTCAACATTGCATTTCCGAGAAAAATATAATTTTTTCGTCCATATCATTGATTTTTTTTTTAACAAATTCGCATGGAACCGGATTCAAACCATTGCCGGTGGGGGAAATGCACTTATAAGTGGCGTCAGATTCAAACCATTGTTTTAGGGTGGGGGAAATGCATTTATATGTGACCTGACGCCACTGGATTCGAAGGCTCAAGTGCATATTATTGATTTTTTTTACAATGGCATTTCCTTGTGTTTTTTATGAAAAAAAAATCAACTTGTTCTCTTAATTAACAAGTCATCTCAGCAAAAAGACAATGAAAGGGCTAAAAAATGATTAAAAAGTAAATTTTAGGATTAAAAATAATTTTATAAGCATAAGGACAAAATTTTTTTTTTAAATATAGGGACTAAAATTGAGGTTTTTACTTTTTAGAAAGAAAAGAAAGGGGGGAGACGTGGGAATCGAACCCTCAACGTCCAAGTCCAACTTGAAATGTTTTGCCACTTGGTGGACTGACGGCGTGAATAACCGAAAAATATATTTATAAGTTAAATTATACAGAGACGTAAAAATGACACCAAGGCAGAAAATCTCGTTCTTTCAACCGGTCAATTGTAGCTGTGTGTTTTTATCACTTGCAGCAATTATTACGTATTTTGTATGTAAAAATTTTATTTATTATAAATTATTTAACAAAATTTATTTATGACATTATCCGGTTAAATTGACGATTTAAATTGTTAAATTAATTTAATTAAAACCAAAGGTTAAATCTAATTGGCTTGATTTGAAAATTAAAACAGTGATTATTGATGTTTCATTTTTTCATAAGTTCAAAAGATTACCTTATTAATAATCACTATCAAAGGATTATATATTTGATAATCCTTAATTATACAATATTTTATGAAAGTTAAATATTAAAA